ATGATTGATAGGGGTTTTGATGTTTCGCCATAACTAGAACTAGGTGTCATGAGCTAGTCCTTGAATTCTTGTCAAAACAGAGAAACAATTAGTAATGGATTATATTAACAGGTGTCAAAGCGTTGCTGAAGCAAGAGAATATTGTGAAGTGTAGTTGCAGAAAAGTTTGGTCGAGGAAAAGAAAACATGCAAAAGTAACAAATAAAAATAACCAAGGCAAATAAAAACGTTGATTCAAATATATTTAGAATAACTTCACATATTCAGACTTTTCACAGAGCAATTAGGTTGGTTTTGCTAAGGCGAGATTATTGAAGTATTTTAGGACGGTTGCTATGGTAATACTACTCAGTGTGAGCTACAACCCTTGGTTTGTCAGACTGTTGTTATGGCAATACCCCTCAGCGTGAACTATACTCGTTGTCTATCTTACTCAAACGTTTATCCCTTTTAGTCAATTGAAACCCTCTCCTTATCTCTAAGGCATGTTAGAACATATCATCCTGGATCTATTCCATTGCTCACATAGATCAAACTTAATTCTCACAAATATAAGAATCAATTTCTAGAAAAATGATAATCTCTCGAAAGCTATTACAAGGTCTAGAAGTGTTTCGCCTAGGGACCAAGAAATCTCTCGAAAGCCCTTACAGTGTCAAGGCAAAATATTAAAATAATGAACAAAACAGACTAAGCAAAATCATAATGCATCATTCATTAACCATCAAATAATTGTCTCGGCAAAACAAAAACCAACACAGTAAAACAAATCATATTGTGGAAAAAGTATCATCTTTAAGTACACGCCCAAAATAGCATGCCCAAAATAGAAAAAAGAAATTAAGAATAAAGGAAGAATGGCTCCCAAATAGGGGCTCTGTTGTGACAGCTTTGACCAGCACCACGCCTGCTTTGGCGGTCAGCCTCTCTCGAGGCCTGACCTCCGCTATGTTATAGTCTGGCTATGGAGGGCACCAAGGAAAGTCGAGTTGGGGAATGGTAGAGGGTAAGGTACTGCAGATTCTTACTTCACGCCTAAGGTAAATCCTCTCCTTGCTTGCCTCTTATTCTTGGCGGCTACAATGAGGTATTTATAATGGGAATTTCTAGGGTTTTGTGTCATTGAATATTCCCTAAATACCCATGTTGACTTGTCTATACTATAGATAGAATGGCGGTTGGAGGTGGTCAAATTCTTGAAGGGTATGATTGCACTTGAGGTCAGTCATATAGCTGGCAAGTGACATCAACAGTTCGTCAGATCCGATTTTGACTTGCAAGATAAATGTAACACCCCCAACCCGTATCCAACCAGGATACGAGTCTGAAGTGTCACATTGACTTTTCAAAATTTATTCGTATAAATAGTGAGTAATTTAAAACTTTTGTACAGTAACTTATTCAAATATTTCCGAACTATTCAGAGCTTAAATGTTTTTGACAAAACCGATCAAGCTATACAATTCAAAACATTAATTACATGCCAACTATTTCAATGTACAGAATATATCTAATTCAAGAGATCTTTTCTGATCTGATCTTCGGTAAGAAGTAACTGACCTGTCTTGTTCCTCTTTACTTTTCTTTTCGCTTTCCAAACCTACGTGTGAAACAATCACACGCTAAGTTGATGACTTAGAGAGGCATATAAAACATATAATATTTCATATAACATAAAGCATACATAAACTATACCATCATTATCATAATCTCTATCATTATCATTAAGAAACACACATAACATCATATGGTTCATGTAACACATTTCAAACCACTTACCTTTGATAACCATTTATAAACCCATTGTATACATATCACATTCAGTATGCTTGTTTAATCACTTTATTAGCCTATGTACACTAGTGATAACTTAAGGTATGTGAGTACATTGAGGTTGTGCACACATATGCTGTCACCACAGCTCGATCAATGTCCCGAAGGACCAGTCCATAGATTCCGAAGAACCTAGGTAATCAGTCCATATGTCCCGAAGAACATAAGTAAACAGTCCATATGTCCCGAAGAACATAGGTAAACAGTCCATATGTCCCGAAGAACATAGGTAAACCCTCGACCCTTGGCATGCCAACTATACCCCTAGCTCTCATATCACATAACATGGGCATTATCATTTATAACAGTTCACATTACTTATTCATATTCTTCTCTTATAAACACATATCTTTTCTTTTCAGTCACGTATCACATGTACGTGTAATCATTGATCTCATAATCACATGTTCCTTCTCTTCTGTCACATACCACATGTATGTGTAAACATATATCTAATATCATATGTTGCATGTAATCATATAGATCGTATCATATAGCTTCTTTCACATATACATGTAATCACTTAGTCTATTTTCATGTAATTCTTTTCACTTCTCATATGATTTTATATTCATATCTCACATAGCTCATATCACCTTGCATTGTTTCATATAAACATAGATGTCATATCTTGTTCACATATATTTTCTATATAACTCATATATCTCATAGTTCTTTCACATAGCTCACTATCATATTTTCATATCATATATCTTATAATAGATTCTTATATCATCATTTGTTTCCTTTCTACCTATTCCTAATCACATAACATATACAAAGCATATAATTATCTTTAGTCATGCATACATACAATCAATGTAATACAGATAATCACATATAATTATAACAACACATAATCATGTCCATGACTTCATGCATACTCTAGGAAATAGACTCATCGCAAGTCTTATTTCCATTAAACACGGAATTGCTTTACGCGCAGAATCTACATAAATGTACATTTTGAGGCAATCATTAGATACCTACCTTGTAATTGGATACTAGCAACTTAAACAAACTTATTACACCAATATTCATATTTTCCTTTAGGGGGAATCGGTTCCCTCCTGTGGGGTATCGGTTTCCCCTTAACATTCTGTAATTTGGTTCGCTTGAGGGGTATCGGTTCCCCTTGAATGGGTACCGATTCCCTTGCCCATAAATCACATTTTTGAGCTCGAAATTCACTTCATTTCAGCTTAAACATATTTTACTTCCTTTAATATTCCTAACTTCCATACACATATTTAAACTCATTTCTATTCCATAATCACTTCTTTAAACCCAAAATCATCATTTACATGGCATTCAGAATCACACTAAATTTCAATGTGTTCTAATTCCAATTCTAACACTTTATACTTCTTAATTAGATTGATGACAAGTCAAATTCATCCATAAAACTCAACAACCATACCATATCAAAATTCATCTTAAAACTCATATTACAAATTCCTTCTTAATTCCTTTATCTTATTGTTTAAATCCCATATAAGCTTTCCTTAAGCTTATTTAATACCCAAAGAAAAAACTAAGCTTAAAACTCAAGAATTAACCAATTGAAATTAAGCTTACCTTTGGCTCTTGGCTTCCACGTGAAGAGAAGAAGAAAGGAGAAGAGAACTCTGGAGAATTCTCTCCCTTTCCACGTGCATTTATCCTTACCAATCCCATTTTTAATTCATTCTTGGTCAATTGACCCTTTTGCCCTTTATTTCCTTTAAATTACTAAATAACCTTCATCATATATCCAATAATCATTGAACTATTTCATTCTTATACTTTAGTCACCAAATTCTGAAACTTTACAATTTGGTCACTAACCCGGTATTGCGGATGTTACAATAAATCTTGCCTTGGTAAGAAAAATCTATTCCTCACTGTCTTCGTCTTCTGTGTTCCACTGTCCCTTACAAAATGTTTTGTCACGACTGAAATGTTCTTCCTAAGTCATTTGCTACATACACATAACCCACAAAAGCCCTTTCTCCTCAGCAGCATCAGTTAAGCCAAATAAAAAAAGGTTTTATTAAAATAGTTTTTAATATATTTATATGTATGTATGCTTAAGTTTAAGAACCTTTTAACCATTAATATTCTACGATGCCGACTTGCGTCACACACTTGACTTTGTTGGGTGAGTCTCTAAATAAAAATTTTCTGCATAGACAATGATTCAAACTTGAGACCTGCTTAAAAGATATCAACCTGCTTACCATTTGAACCAATCCCCATTGATACCGTTATTTTATTTAATCGTGTCAAAGTCTATCTATCACGTTTTAAAATTTAGTTTAACAATTTTTAAGTTAAAATTTTATTTTTAAATTAATTTTAAAATTCAAATTAAATTTATTCTAAAATGATTAGGTTGTCTCACTTTGCGAAAAGAACAATTAACGACACAACAAATAGAAAAACTTGTTTGTAAAAGCAAAATAATAATAATAATAATAATAATAATAATAATAATAATAATAATAATAATAATAATAATAATAATAGTAGTAGTAGTAATAAAAATATTGAAGGAAATATGTATCTTCAAGGAAATTATCCTACAAAATATAAAAGAAAAAATATATTAGTAAAATTTAAATATGATAATAATAAAATAATAATAAAATCAAATGAAATGACCAACAATCAGTTGGTCTAGTGGGATGATGCACTAGATTCCTTAAGCAATGTCGGAGGTTTGAATCTTGACGATTGTGAATAGAGCAAACTGGGTTGTGAGGGTTGCCCTTGTCTCTACAGAACTTGATCTCGATTAGTCAATCAATAGATCGGATACTAGTGATTATACCAAAATCAAATGAAATGAAATAAAAAAGAGATAAAAATATATTAATCCTTAAAATTGACATTAAAAAAAAGAAAAATAATATGTGAGTGAAAATAAAATAGTAATAATAACAATAATTAAATAAGATAAATACATAAAAAATAAAAACAAATTAATGTAAGGACCAATATGTAAATGAAAAAAATTAATTGCGTTGCAATAGCAAATAAATTTGATTGAACATGATAGAATTAAGACAAAAAAAACTGAGGGACCAAACCTAATATAATCCCAAAGGTTTGATAGCAGTGCGGTTCTCCGTCCTTTTTCGCTCCTCTATATTTCTTCACGACAAACTAAGAAAAATGAAATTCTCTCACCATCCAACCCTAGCTGCCGATGATTTTAAGCCCTCGTCGATGCGCTACGCTGACTCTACCAGCGATAGTTTTTATCAAAATGACCCACAACGCCTTCTCTTCTCTTCCATCCGAACTAATCTTTCAAATCATTAATAAGGACAAGCAAAACTAGATTGGAGCGTTAGTCTATTCACTCGTTGGATCCACGTTGTTCATCGTTTAATGAGATTGAAATCACACAATGTTTCTCTCTTCGACTTAGGCTCTTCATCTACTGATTCGATTCACCAACGAACGCTCTAACCGTCACCAATTTAAGAACCCGAAAAGGTAAGCCTTCCCTCTTCTCTCCCTTTTGACTTCGTTTTCTCTCCATTTTCCCTTCTCAAACTTCTTATTTTCTTTGAATCTGGTGGTCTTGGATTTTACTCGATCGTGGGTTTTGGGTATGGTCAGGGTCATTGAATTCAAATCTTGTGGCTCTAGATTTTCTACATGGGGAAATTCGTGGTCGAAGCCCATGGTTGCTACAGAAGCTTCTGAAACTGATGATAAACGAATCGAACTTTATGGTTCTAAAAATTGATGATGCCATTAGTCCATCAGACTACTGAGGTATAATTTCCAAACTGTTTCACCTAGAAGATTACCCTGTTTTGATCGCCCAAAACTTTTTTGTTTGCTCGAGAGAAACATGTTTTACTTATATATTTTTGAATTGTTGAGCCCTCTGTTAGTTGAAGTAGCATGATGGACTCGTGTTATTGGCAATGATTCTTTACATCTTTAGTTACTACTTTCAATCATCAATGGATCGATTTTCATATTCCTCTTAAAAATGTTTTATATTATTTGTCTATAACATTATCTTTATGTAGAATGGCGATTTGTATAATTCAATTTTTTGGCACTCGTTTTGCAGGGTTTTGGGCTGGAAAACTTGGGTAATACATGCTTTATCAATGTTTTGTTGTAATGTTTTATTCACACGGTTCCATTTGTTTTAGTTATTCAATCTTTGAATCATCATGAGAAACCTTGTGATTGTATGTCTCTTGTTTAATCTTTGTGCCTTTGTTTTCTTTTGGGGTTTCTCGTTGTTTTTGTTTTTGTTTGAATTGTCAAGTGATAATGAGGGCTTTTGTTTACTTTGTGCTCTTTGTCATCACATTGAACTTTCATTAAATTCATCAAGAGTTGTATCGCCTCACAAAAGATTTTACAAATTGAACTGTATTCTTTATTTTTCTATTAGTAGCTTGATTAGTTTATAATTAATTGATCGTTACTTAATATGTTATAAGCATTGAATGATTTTGATTTAGGATTGATTTTTTAGTAAATTTTGGTCATTTTATTTCTTTAGTCATTGTAAGAGATATACATATTTGTTATCAATGTGCTTAGAAATGTGTATTTCAAGTATAGGGAGTGACTAGAAAAATACAGAAATGAAGTGTGTTCATAATTGTGATTCTTGACTCTCATGGACCTAGGTATTGCATCATTTTTCAGATATATCAACAGGAAGAAGCTCATGAGTTCCTGCAATGCATGTTACATAGGCTTGAAAGCTGTTGACTAAAGGCCAAGAATGATTTGTCCTCTGTTGATGATTGCCTCGTTAAGAAGGTTTATCATGGTCACCTGGTTAGCAGAGTATAAATGTTGCAACTTGATCATGGGTCATTATTGTAATTTGTAAAAGATGTATGTTATTATTGTAATTTGTGAACCTTTCTCCTTTAATGTAATTTATAAAAAGTTGTGGTATCTATTATAATTTATAAAAGGTTTTATCTTTAATTTTAATTTATAAAAAGTTTTATCCCTAATTTTAATTTATATAAAGTTTTGTCCTTTTACTAAAATGTTTTGTCCTTTAGTGTAATTTATAAAAGTTGTCCTTAAATGTGATTTATAAAAAAGTTGTGTTGTATATTGTAATTTCTAAAAAGTTTAGTCATTTATTGTAACTTTACACTTTTTATTTATTAAAAAATTATGAATTTTTTTTGTCACTAATACAATAAATTTATTATATTATTAGTGACAATATTAATAATTAGTGATAAAACTTTATATTATTTGATGACATGATTAATTTTCATTGAATATAATTTCTAATGTGACTAAATATATTAACGTCACTATGTATTTAATAATACGTGACGAAATTATATACATCGTCATATTTGACATTTAATGACACACCTAGCGTGACGTTCATCGTGACGTCAAATTTTACGTCACAAAAATAAACAGTGATGTAAATGTAAGTTTCTATGATGATATTTCAGATGCCATAAATAAACAAATTTATTGTAGTGACACCTACTGTTGTGTATTCAGATAAGGACATCACGCCTGCCAACTCACCCGTCACGAGTGTTAAGACCTTGGCCATAGTCAACCGCAAAAGTACCTTGCACACTTGCTTTAGGTGTTCTTGGATATCCTATACCACTAGATGATCTTCAGCGCCTGAACTGGACTGATGCGACTATACATGCATACCTAAGGCCCAGAGGCCATACGACACTGACATCGTTACCCAGCTCCTCATGAGTGTTTGAGCCTCACGCCTTAACTAGCTCCTGAAGTGTGTTGTATACTGAAAATGTCCTACTAGGGAAACTAAGGTAACTTGGGTATACCCTAACACAATTAGACTCATTAAGGTGAGTTCATCCTCTCACAAGCTTCTATCTCACTCGTTCTCTCATCTAGAATGTTATGCGAAAGATTATTAGTCTATTACTACTATTATCTATTAGGATGATCTATTATGGTCGTTCGTTACTTAAGGGTATTTTAGTTATTCTCTACCTCTAGGAAATTCTTTATGTTATTCACTGGTTGTACTATTCACTAGCCCGATATCTGACTCAGGGTCAACACTGGGTAACGACACTCTGATCGCTCTTATTGAACTTCTTTTCAATACCCCTCGAATTGAAAGGACAACTTACACCTCCTAGGTTCATTGACGTTCTTGAAGGCCACGTTTTCTGCTATTTCTAAATCTGAATTGCTTATTGTACCACTGGTCAGTACATTCCCCTACAACGATCCTTGTTCTCAACTATCTTGACTAAAGATATTTCGACATAGTCAACCGCAAAAGTACCTTGCACACTTGCTTTAGGTGTTCTCGGATATCCTATACCACTAGATGATCTTCAGCGCCTAAACTGGACTGATGCGACTATACATGCATACCTAAGGCCCAGAGGCCATACGACACTGACATCGTTACCCAACTCCTCATGAGTGTTTGAGCCTCACGCCTTAACTAGCTCCTGAAGTGTGTTGTATACTGAAAATGTCCTACTAGGGAAACTAAGGTAACTTGGGTATACCCTAGCACAATTAGACTCATTAAGGTGAGTTCATCCTCTCACAAGCTTCTATCTCACTCGTTCTCTCATCTAGAATGTTATGCGAAGGATTATTAGTCTATTACTACTATTATCTATTAGGATGATCTATTATGGTCGTTCGTTACTTAAGGGTATTTTAGTTATTCTCTACCTCTAGGAAATTCTTTATGTTATTCACTGGTTGTATTATTTACTAGCCTGATATCTGACTCAGGGTCAACACTGGGTAGCGACACTCTGATCGCTCTTATTGAACTTCTTTTCAATACCCCTCGAATTGAAAGGACAACTTACACCTCCTAGGTTCATCTATTTCTAAATCTGAATTGCTTATTGTACCACTGGTCAGTACATTCCCCTACAACGATCCTTGTTCTCAACTATCTTGACTAAAGATATTTCGACATAGTCAACCGCAAAAGTACCTTGCACACTTGCTTTATGTGTTCTCAGATATCCTATACCACTAGATGATCTTCAGCGCCTGAACTGGACTGATGCGACTATACATGCATACCTAAGGCCCAGAGGCCATACGACACTGACATCGTTACCCAACTCCTCACGAGTGTTTGAGCCTCACGCCTTAACTAGCTCCTGAAGTGTGTTGTATACTGAAAATGTCCTACTAGGGAAACTAAGGTAACTTGGGTATACCCTAGCACAATTAGACTCATTAAGGTGAGTTCATCCTCTCACAAGCTTCTATCTCACTCGTTCTCTCATCTAGAATGTTATGCGAAGGATTATTAGTCTATTACTACTATTATCTATTAGGATGATCTATTATGGTCGTTCGTTACTTAAGGGTATTTTAGTTATTCTCTACCTCTAGAAAATTCTTTATGTTATTCACTGGTTGTACTATTTACTAGCCCGAAATCTGACTCAGGGTCAACACTGGGTAGCGACACTCTGATCGCTCTTATTGAACTTGTTTTCAATACCCCTCGAATTGAAAGGACAACTTACACCTCCTAGGTTCATTGACATTCTCGAAGGCCACGTTTTCCGCTATTTCTAAATCTGAATTGCTTATTGTACCACTGGTCAGTACATTCCCCTACAACGATCCTTGTTCTCAACTATCTTGACTAAAGATATTTCGACATAGTCAACCGCAAAAGTACCTTGCACACTTGCTTTATGTGTTCTCGGATATCCTATACCACTAGATGATCTTCAGCGCCTGAACTGGACTGATGCGACTATACATGCATACCTAAGGCCCAGAGGCCATACGACACTGACATCGTTACCCAACTCCTCATGAGTGTTTGAGCCTCACGCCTTAACTAGCTCCTGAAGTGTGTTGTATACTGAAAATGTCCTACTAGGGAAACTAAGGTAACTTGGGTATACCCTAGCACAATTAGACTCATTAAGGTGAGTTCATCCTCTCACAAGCTTCTATCTCACTCGTTCTCTCATCCAGAATGTTATGCGAAGGATTATTAGTCTATTACTACTATTATCTATTAGGATGATCTATTCTGGTCGTTCGTTACTTAAGGGTATTTTAGTTATTCTCTACCTCTAGGAAATTCTTTATGTTATTCACTGGTTGTACTATTCGCTAGCCCGATATCTGACTCAGGGTCAACACTGGGTAGCGACACTCTGATCGCTCTTATTGAACTTCTTTTCAATACCCCTCGAATTGAAAGGACAACTTACACCTCCTAGGTTCATTGACGTTCTCGAAGGCCACGTTTTTCGCTTTTTCTAAATCTGAATTGCTTATTGTACCACTGGTCAGTACATTCCCCTACAAAGATCCTTGTTCTCAACTATCTGTACACGTTCTTGACTAAAGATATTTCGACATATTTTGCTTAGTATGGTTACATCGATTGTAACCCACCTCTAAACACATTTCTTAACATTTATTCTAATATTTTACAGATATTTGATCCCATTTATGATTATAGTATGGGTCTAGGGCTTCCCAGACAACATTTTAGGCCCTTTTGGACATTTTAGGCAAGGGTTTCAAAACCATAATGCAATTTCTACATTCTAGACAAGGGGTTTTGAAACCGCTGCTGCAGATTACCCTGTTCTTACGAGAAAGCTCTCCAGATCACTTTCAAAACGTTCCCAAGGTCTCCAAATGTTTAATAAATCTTATAGAAATTATTTAAGGTCATCTAGCACTATAAAAACACTAGTTTTTATCCATGAAAAGAATCAAACACAACCCTAATATACCCAATACTCAAATCTTCAACAAGCATTTTGATTTATGGAAGTCATGACACCACAAATGATTAGAAATACACTACCAATGTGTTTGAATCCTGAAATAGAGCTCCTTTAGCTAGAAAATACCCTCTACCAAGTCTTAGATGGTAAAATCCCCAATTCTCTTGCAACCAAATAACTCAAAGCTTTAAATTATTAAAACGATGTCGCTGGAGGTATTATGAACGAAATTGAAGCTTAAAATAAGTAGGAAATGGCTCCAGGGACTTACCTTTAACTTATGGAACTTGGATAGGAAGAAGAGAGGAAAATGAGAAGGAAGGAAAAAACTAAGAAAAGAATAAGATAAAGAGAAATAAAAAGCTTCCATCATTTTAAAATAGGGTAATAGAACTTTTGGTCCTTCCTCATCCTATACTATTTTAAAATCTCTTTTTTATAACTAATTGGTCCCTATTCAAACCCAATTAAGCCCAACAACTTAAATAATGAAATCTATGGTGTCAACTTGCCTATCAGGTACCTGAAACTACTAGCCAGGACTTTGGTGTGTTATAGACCCGAAAAGGTTTTGAATAAACCCATTACCCATATAAGAAGCCTTAGTCCAAAATTGAGTCTGTTTGGGTTTTAATGAGCCCAAATATAGATAACTTTTTTTTTGTACTTTTTAATTGGGGCCAAAATTGAGGGACCAAGGCTTGTGATGAAACAAAGGTTGAAAATGACTAAAGTTGAGGGAGACAAGAATGGTGAGGAAATTGAGAAGAGAATAGAGTCTGTTTGGGATTTACCCATTTAATTTTTCAAAGGTTGAATCTCATTTTTGGGAATGAGGTCACAGAGTTGAGAGAAGAAACAAAGCTTCATTCTCTTCTCAATTTCCTCACCATTCTTGTCTCCTTCTCTATTTCAAAATATATCTTTTTCCCCTTAGAACTTAGAGAAATGAAGTAACTTTGTTACCTTTCAAGCTTAATCCAAAATTCTGAAGGTAAGAATCATAGTCTTCTCCTCTAGAGCTTCCATTCAAGCCCTTAATATCAAGATTTGGCTATGATGACCATATGGTGGGTGGTTTTGTGGGGTTTAGAAACTCTTGCTAAACCAGATTGTTTTTGGTAGTTTTGAGCCTTAGGGAACCTTTTTAACTTTTTTTAGGCTCCTAAGTGAATTAGTAACTCCATTACTTGTTTCTTGATTA